CACTCTAAACATGTTTGGTTGCACTCTAAGTATGTTTCGATGCGCTCTAAACGTGTTTGGACGCACTCTAGAAATGTTTGGACACATTCTAAGTGTGTTTCGACGCACCCTAAACGTGTTTTGAAGCACTCTAAACATGTTTAGACAAACTCTGAACATGTTCTGGCGCACTCTAAATATGTTTCGATGCTCTCTAAATATGTTTGGATGCACTCTAAGTATGTTTTGACGAACTGTAAAAATGTTTCAATGCACTCTAAACATGTTTGGTTGCACTCTAAGTATGTTTCGATGCACTCTAAACGTGTTTGGACGCACTCTAAACGTGTTTGGATGTACTCTAAGTATGTTTGGATGCACTCTAAACATGTTTCGACGCACTCTAAAAATGTTTCGATGCTCTCTAAACATGTTTGGATGCATTCTAAGTATGTTTTGACGCACTCTAAAAATGTTTGAACGCACTCTAAACATTTGGATGTACTCTAAGCACGCACTCTTAACATGTTTGGATGCACTCTAATTATGTTTCGACGCACTGTAAACGTGTTTTGAAGCACTCTAAAAAAGTTTAGACGCACTCTAAATATGTTTCGACACACTCTAAAAATGTTTCAATGCACTCTAAACATGTTTCGCTGCACTCTAAACATGTTTGGATGCATTCTAAGTATGTTTCGACGCACTCTAAAAAGGTTACAATGCACTCTAAACATGTTTGGCTGCATTTTAAGTATGTTTCGATGCACTTTAAATATGTTTCGACGAACTCTAAAAATATTTCAATGCACTCTAAACATGTTTGGTTGCACTATAAGTATGTTTCGATGCACTCTAAACGTGTTTGGACGCACTCTAAACGTGTTTGGATGCACTCTAAGTTAGTTTGGATGCACTCTAAACATGTTTCGACGCACTCTAAAAATGTTTCGATACTCTCTAAACATGTTTGGATGCACTCTAAGTATGTTTTGATGCACTCTAAAAATGTTTGAACGCACTCTAAACATGTTTGGATGTACTCTAAGCACGCACTCTAAACATGTTTGGATGCACTCTAATTATATTTCGACACACACTAAATGTGTTTTGAAACGCTCTAAAGATGTTTAGACGCAGTCTAAAAATATTTAGACGCACTCTAAACATGTTTCGACGAACTCTAAAAATGTTTCAATGCACTCTAAACATGTTTGGCTGCACTTTAAGTATGTTTCGATGCACTCTAAACGTGTTTGGACGCATTCTAAACGTGTTTGGATGCACTCTAAGTATGTTTGGATGCACTCTAAACATGTTTCGACGCACTCTAAAAATGTTTCGATGCTCTCTAAACATGTTTGGATGCACTCTAAGTATGTTTTGACGCACTCTAAAAATGTTTGAACGCACTCTAAACATGTTTGGATATACTCTAAGCACGCATTCTAAACATGTTTGGATACACTCTAATTATGAATAAGAGAGTCATTTTATTTTTATTTTTTTTTATTTTTCTCTCATAATCCCACATTTTTCTAAAGATTGTTCGCTTAACCGCCAATCATCTTATTCTTGCCAAAAACATTGTTGTCATTAAACGTTTTCGCGTAGTTGCCTTTCAATCTCGGATGAATCAGTGTTATTCTCGAGACTTCTTTCTGCACCGCGATTGTCGTCCCTTTTTTTGTTATCATCAAACGATTCTTTTGTGCATGGTGCCAAAGTTGCGTTATGATTGACACAAGTTTGCAAGGTGATGTGGTTCAAGCGGCATGCGTTTGATCATCTTTTCAGCAAGTTGGGCGTTTCATGATCTTCCACGCTCCAACTTGAAGGGGGATGTTGAGATATACCGGATCTTGAAGAATATTACGAGATATATCGTATAATGGAGATCTTATCAAATCCGGAAAATATATATTTAGAAATATTTATTATTTTATTTAGTTTACTTATTCCATGTAAGACTCTCATCTATTTATATGTTATTCTGATTATGAATAAAGACATCATTCCGCAAATTTCTACATAGTATCAGTGCTTCTGGTTCTTTTCTAGTTTGTTGTTCTTTTTATAAAAATGATGATCGACAATGAGAGTGAAGATGAAGATGATGATATACTGATCCAGTGGTAATATCATTTCGAGTTTTTTTTTATTAAGAATAATGAGAGTCATTTTATTTTTATTTTTTTTATATATAATATCATTTCACTATTAGTGGTAACAGATAGAATATTGATATGCAATATATCAGATTATTGGAATAAAACGTAAAAGCTTAAATGGGAAAAACCTTGAAAACGGCATCGTTTTAAGGCAAACAGATTTTCAGCTTTATTAAAAGCCTGAACACGTGTTAACACTACCCAGGATATAAAGCTCCTCCAGTGGTAGTATCGTATATTACTACATATACCAGGGATGGTTTCGTCATTTGGTAGTCTCACCCGTTTATTAATTAATGACAACGAGAAAAAAAAAACTAAGAAACAGAAACCTCGGGGAAAAACCGAAACAGAGAAAGGAAGAAGAATACCGCCAAAATCTCCCACTCCGGAGAGAAATCGGCCTCTCTACTCCGGACGGCGAGGTGAAAGATGACGTCGGGGACTAGGACGCCGACGTGGAAGGAGAGGGAGAACAACAAGCGGAGGGAGCGGCGGAGGAGAGCGATCGCGGCGAAGATCTTCGCCGGACTCCGGATGTACGGTAACTACAAGCTTCCCAAACACTGCGATAACAACGAAGTCCTCAAAGCACTCTGCAAAGAAGCTGGTTGGACCGTCGAAGAAGACGGTACCACGTACCGGAAGGTAAAATACTCTCCGAGATTATTGGGCAATTCTGCAGTGTCTAGATCTGAGCATTCGAGTTTTTTTTCTAAAAAAATGGTTGTGAAGAATCGGACGGTTGCGATTTCGTTTCGGAGACTGGGTGTTGATGACGAACGTCAGATCGCAACCGTCTCCGGCGAAGTGAAAAGCGTGAAGCGTAAGATCTGCTGATGCTTCGACGATCTCTCTCTTTCTCTGAGTACTTTCAGAGCTTTTATTAATTACCATTATGCCCTTTGCTAATCATGGATGTCTGACCATGTCTGACCTGGGCATTAGCGTCATTTCGACGGTTTTTCCTCGCAATGAGTTCTCTCTCCCTCCCTCTCTTTTTTCTTTTTAGGGTTTGATTGAGCAGTTTCGTGTACCGGGAAGCATTTCTCGTGAAAAAAAAGAGTTTTTTTTAGTGTATAGACTTAAAGTCACGTCTGTTTCACGAAACTGCGATCGGCAATGGGGTTGGATTCCTGAGTACTGTAGAAAAATAAAATGCGGAAATAAAATAAGACAAATAGAAAAGAACGGAATTACTTTTATTGCTACATCTCTTCTTGTTGTTTTTGAATTACAATGAAAATGACTCACATATTTATAGGAAAACTATGAGACAAATAAAAAGGAAATAGAAATAAATAAGATCGATACACAATATTTGATATAATATTATATCCATTATTATTTCTAATCATATCTTAAAATCAATATTTCCTTCAATCACATATTTATTTTTCTATTTCAACATTGGGCGTTTCATGATCTTCCACGCTCCAACTTGAAGGGGGATGTTGAGATATACCGGATCTTGAAGAATATTACGAGATATATCGTATAATGGAGATCTTATCAAATCCGGAAAATATATATTTAGAAATATTTATTATTTTATTTAGTTTACTTATTCCATGTAAGACTCTCATCTATTTATATGTTATTCTTATTATGAATAAAGACATCATTCCGCAAATTTCTACATCGACGAACTCTAAAAATGTTTCAATTCACTCTAAACATGTTTGGATGCATTCTAAGTATGTTTCGATGCACAATAAACGTGTTTGGATGCACTCTAAACATGTTTGGATGAACTCTAAGTATGTTTGGATGCACTCTAAATATGTTTCGACGAACTCTAAAAATGTTTCAATGCACTCTAAATGTGGTTGGATGCACTCTAAGTATGTTTGGATGCACTCTAAACATGTTTCGACGCACTCTAAAAAATTTTCGATGCTCTCTAAACATATTTGGATGCACTCTAAACATGTTTTGAAACACTCTAAAAATGTTTAGACGCAGTCTAAAAATGTTTAGACGCACTCTAAATATGTTTCGGCAAACTCTAAAAATGTTTTAATACACTCTAAACATGTTTTGTTACACTCTAAGTATGTTTCGATGCGCTCTAAACGTGTTTGGAAGCACTCTAAAAATGTTTGGGCACATTCTAAGTATGTTTCGACGCACTCTAAACGTGTTTTGAAGCACTCTAAACATGCTTAGACAAACTCTTAACATGTTTCGACGCACTCTAAATATGTTTCGACGCACTCTAAAAATGTTTCAATGCACTCTAAACATGTTTGGCTGCACTCTAAGTATGTTTCAATGCACTCTAAACATGTTTCGACGAACTCTAAAAATGTTTCAATTCACTCTAAACATGTTTGGCTGCATTCTAAGTATGTTTCGATGCATAATAAACGTGTTTGGACGCACTCTAAACGTGTTTGGATGGACTCTAAGTATGTTTGGATGCAGTCTAAATATGTTTCGACGAACTCTAAAAATGTTTCAATGCACTCTAAATGTGGTTGAATGCACTCTAAGTATGTTTGGATGCACTCTAAACATGTTTCGACGCACTCTAAAAAATTTTCGTAGCTCTCTAAAAATATTTGGATGCACTCTAAACATGTTTTGAAACACTCTAAAAATGTTTAGACGCAGTCTAAAAATGTTTAGACGCACTCTAAATATGTTTCGGCGAACTCTAAAAATGTTTCAATGCACTCTAAACATGTTTGGTTGCACTCTAAGTATAATTCGATGCTCTCTAAACGTGTTTGGACGCACTCTAAAAATGTTTGGGCACATTCTAAGTATGTTTCGACGCACTCTAAA